TTTACCTATGGACAGTTTTATGTCTAAAAAGTTTAAACAACGATTTTTATTTATTTTCAATATAAAATTTATATTCAGTAATTTCGTGGTCCGCTTGACCAATTTATACATTACAATTAATTAAGGTTTTTAGTTGAGATGAAAAAAGGATATTGGCACGAGCGGGATTCGAACCCACGATCTTTGGCTAGATATGCCGAAAAATGGCAAAAAGGAGTGAAAATTCATAAGGTGGGGTTGAGATAGGAAGTTAGTGTCCGAGTGGATCGAGGTCATGATAGCTCAAGTGGTAGAGCAGCGGCGTATCTAGCCGAAGATCGTGGGTTCGAATCCCGCTCGTGCCATTAACTTTTTTTCATCTCAACTAAAAACCTTAATTAATTGTAATGTAAAATTCATACTAGGTTGTAAATTATTAATTAATTGGAGGAATTCATTGAGATCCTCTAAGGTTCCCGACCGTATACTAAAATATTGTCTACTTAGCGTTTCCAAAAAAAGGACAGACTCAATTAATTTGGTATTTAATTTGAATAGATTTTTTTTTTTTTCAAAGTGTTCCATGAATATTTCAGCAGAAAGTGGGAATGATGGAGACCGCAATGGGAACCCTTTCATTTCATAAAATTTATTATTAAATTTACAATAATTATATAGCAAGGTATGTTTAAGGCACCATTTACAGGTCTACTATATCATTTTTTACAAATCAGTTAATGGATTTCTCCATAAGTTTTTGTTCTAATCACTTTACTGGATTTATCTATTCTTTCTTCTTGTTTTACCTTCTCGGTCATCTTCAATGTGTGATGGAATACAACGAGAATAGACAGACCCAAAAAATATCTTTTTCATTTTTCAACCAAGTGTAATTCAGACAGGTGTCGTTATTTAAGAGTTGAGAGAATGAAATTAGAAGAAAACCACGGTGTGCAATTAATTCCTACTAAGGTTCTCGTAGTTTTTAGTATTTGGTCTGTAGAACATGGCGCCCAAACAAGGTTTGGGAATCCAAAATGATCGGTAACTTGAAACAAGCTCGTCAAGTAAGTTACAAACGACAATTTATTTTAAATGCAAACGTTTTGTTTAAAGGCGGGAGTTATTTTTTCTCTAGGGAGTCGCGGAGTTTCGCTTAGCAGAAACCCAAACCCTAAGCTTGATTCCGCGGGACAAGGAACGTGTCATTTTTTCGATACGGTGAATCTGTTGGGCCATGGGTGTCAGGGGACGGACCGAGGCTTATCCGATTACATTTAATATTCATAAATGGAGTAGGAGCCGGCAATAACTGCCGTTCCCGGCAACTGCGAGTCGAGGATTATAACAATAGTACTTGCCTTTTTATTACCCAGCAACCGGCTCGTCTCCCTTAACGTATGGCCTTATCCCATCCTTTTCCAGCCTGTAAATCACGGCCGGGTTTAACACGGTTCTAAGCTAAAATAAAAGCCGTCGCTCCTTCTTTGTCCCACACCTCCAAAGTTGGACGTCCGAGGTGGTCTTTTTGCGGGACTGGCCCAAATATCATTTCGTTCGTTACAATCCTTGGAATATACCCATCAAAACCAGTAATGTATTTTAGCACTTTTCTGGCGAAAACAAGGCAACACACTGACCCCGCACCAACATTTTATTTGTTAAATCCATTAGATTTCGTGGTCCGATTGACCAAATGACTGATTTCAATTAATTAATCTTTATGTAAGGTATTGTTTGAAATAAAAAAGCCAGTGTCACGAGCGGGATTCGAAGCCACGACCTTCGGCTAAATACACCGCTGCTCTACCACTTGAGACTTCGAAGACATGGCTTATAACATGTCGAAAAGCCCGGTTTACAACCTTAATTGGAATGATTATGATATTGACAGGACAAATCAGCACAGAAATTAAAAAGAGAGTAAAGAACACTTGCCTACAGCGAACAAATTTTCGGAATTTAAGGACCATCCAAATGAAATAAAACACAATTTAAATTTAAGTAAAAAAGGGTTACACAGTTTCAACAATGGGAGAGAACTAGATTGATTTGAGGAATTTGAAATATGTACAATTAAACTGGAGATAAATGTATAAATAATATAATAGATCCATTACAGTTCGTCGTCCGATTGACCAATTAACTTATTTCAATTAATTAATATTTATGAAAGGTATTGGCTGAGATAAAAAAGTCAGTGTCACGAGCGGGATTTGAACCCACGACCTTCGGCTAAATACGCCGCTACTCTACCCCATGAGCTATGGTGACTTCGATGATGAAGTATATCTTCACTAAAGCTTTCCGTTGGCCATTTGTCGCCCAGCATCGAATAGATTACACAACATTTGAAAAATGGCAAAAAGAAGGGGAAAAATGTGAGTTGATATGGGAAGTTGATGTCCGAGGGGATCGAAATCACGATAGCTCAAGTGGTAGAGCAGCGGCGTATTTAGTCGAAAGTCGTGGGTTCGAATCCCGTTCGTGACATTGGCTTTTTTATTTCAACCAATACCTTACATAAAGATTAATTAATTGAAAGAATTTTATTTATTGATGATTTAGTTTATTTCGCATATTATTTAACACAACCCAAATAAGGCGAAACGGAAAACATACTTAAATTTACTCTAACGCAATTGTCTAATTGCTTACATTCCATACATATTTTCATTTGGAAATTTGTTCAAGTCAATCTATGATAAATAAAGAAGTTGGTATTCTGTCAAAAATGCAGTAAATAAAATACCAAAATACATACCAAATCAACTACAACTGATAACACGATAAAACAGACGAACTACATTTACTTTCACCCTTCGCCACGTAAAACGGTTCGTCCGCGCATATAAAAAGCTCCAAAGAGGTATTCAACATGTAGATAGCCTTCTGACATCTTTGTGATCGTTTCGTTAAGCCCCTTCTGACTACAAAAAAACGCACAATAAATAGGGAGAATAGGGTATCAAGATGATCAGGAACGATTAGACCTCAAGGTATCTCTTCGTTCACTCCACGTATCAAACTCAACGAAATAACTTCTAACTTCTAAAATAGTGTTTAATTTACCAATAACAGCCCGTTTTATGATTTCTTGCGACATGCATAAATGTACTCTTATATCATGTATTATCTAAATTATGACAGCATTATATAAATGTTTCGAACCAATGTTCACTATGAAGTGACAATAAAAAAACGAAATTCTTCATATGTTTATTAAATTCAAGAATATGGTACGAATGTATGTAAATGTTTTAGCTTGCTAAAGGCTAGTTTATATCTTAATATTTCATTTTTATTGTACTAGAATTTGTGTGATACAAATGCCAATTGTTCATTAATAATTGTGTTTTACTGTATTGTGAATTAATTATTTCTGCTTGTCTCGAAGATAACACTAAAACAACACAATTGTCTTTTTTATGTATAATTATTTATTTATTTATTTTATTGAAATTCAAACGGGTCAAATCTCAGTCAGGAGTTCAGAAAACATGGGTAAAAATTCAGAATATAAACAATTAACATTAAAAAGATTGTGTGGTGATTAGTGACCTTTAATCGATAATTATTCAGAAATCGTGAGATGCGGTCTGGTGTGATGTAGGTTTCACAAAAACATTTTCTTTATCGTGCCAACGTTTCGATCATTATTGAGATCATCTTCAGGGCTAAAAGTACAAAGTCTTCTGTGTAATTTTGCCTTTCTTGCGTGTCGTATTCAGAGTGCCCGGGAGAATGGGACAATTACACAGAAGACCAACTCTTTGAGCCCTGAAGATGATCTCAATAATGATCGAAACGTTGGTACGATAAAGAAAATGTTTTTCTGAAACCTACATCACACCAGACCGCATCTCACGATTTCTGAATAATTAGAAATAATAGATAATAAATCACTAGATAATAATTGCAACAGATAACAATAACCCTTGTGCCAAAGGAAAAAATCAAGCATAAAAAACTGGGCTCAATGAACCACTCTTTTAATGCTAGTAAACATAAGAATAAGAACGGTTTATTTACAAATAAATACAAATATGTATAAAATTGTGATATATTAAATTCACTAGTTTCGTGGTTAAGGTTTTTAGTTGAGATAAAAAAGTCAGTGTAATGAGCTGGATTCGAACCCATAATCTTCGGCTGCTGCTCTATCACTTGAGCTATCGTGACCTTGATCCACTCGGACACTAACTTCCCATCTCAACCCCACCTTTTGAATTTTCCTAATTTTATCTCAAGTAAAACCTTAAATCATTGAAATATATTAATTGGTCAAGCTGACTACAAACCTAGTGAATTTAATATATCACAATTTTATACATATTTATATTTATTTGTAAATAAACCTTTCTTATTCTTGTATGTATACCTTCACTAAATCTCTCCGTGGCCATTTCATTTGTCGCCGAGAATCAAATAGATTACACGAAATTTGAAAAATGGCAAAAAGGAGGGAAAATTCAAGGTGGGGTTAAGATGGGAAGTTAGTGTCCCAATTAACCTCCTGGGAATCAGTCCTATTAATCAACTACCATAAGAACAAGGCCGAAGCCAAAATTCTCTCTTCCAGAGTCCAGTCCGACCAAATTCAGTCTTTCACTGTGAGCGAGCTGACCATTGTCATGTATGATTATTTGGAGATCGTGAGATGCGGTCTGGTACGACATTTTCTTTAACCTGCCAACGTTTCAATCTTTATTGAGAACTTCTTCAGGGCTCATCATTGCGATCCACTGTTTTATCCAGGCGACCAAATAATACTTGCATGTTCCAAATCGCAACGAATAAGTAATTGTAGAGGATTTTTATGGCAAATGCATTTGTCAAATCTACTGGCTGGCTGTTAATGAAGCCAAATTTTAAACAGCTTCTGGTGGCGACGAAAATCGCAGTTTTTTTTTTTTTCGTCGTAAGAAGAAATAATCATGTACAACTTTTAAAACTATGTGTGATTGTGTGATAGCTATGGTAAAGAAATAATTACAACAACCATCTTCTTTCTGTTTCAGATTTTTCATGTAGCAGCAAAGACGTGAATTAGCTGCGGAGCTAGAGGTAAGATATGGTCAAATACTGAATGACATTTATGAATTGAGCGTTTAGTCTGTGTATTTTGTTGTTTACAAAAAAAATTAACAATTGAATAGTTGGTCGGTGGATAAGGCGAAGGAACTGGTCGGCCTTGCCAATACATGTAACGAACCAGCAGATAGGATGTAAAAATAAATAAAACAATATAAAATATAAGGTTGACGTCCTGGGATAATTGGGTGATATACTTCGGGACCGGTGATAAATTGCGGTGAGGTCGGCGGGCGTAAATCATATCCGGTGCATCGCGGTCGCCGTCCAACTTTTTCTCGTCATTACCCTTTCATTAATGAGAAAATGACTAATTGGGCCGGCCTCCCCATCAAAATGCGTCGAAACCCTAGGGGTAGATGCGCATTTTCGTTTTTACTGCTGGCAGGCATCGGCTTGTAAATGTCGAAGAGTGCAAAACCCAGTCGCATAAAACGAACGCATTATGTGACTGCTCTTTTTTTTTAAACGATTGCGATGGCTTACCCTATTGGAAATATTTTCAAAGCACAATTCATTATTACTACAACCAGAAAAGCAACGGAATGTGTGGTTTGAAAGCTTGATTTTGTTTTTCTATTGACTCGAAAATGCTGGTAAAAAAAACTTATACTAGAATTCTCTCGGTAGAATAAAATTTTTGCGACATGTTTAAAGCAATTATATAGACATTGCATTATATCAAAAAGTGATGAAAACGTGGCAGAAGAAGAGATTGCCAAAAGAAATTAAAAATGTTCATCACATAACCAAATTTACTTACTCATAAGAAAAAAGCTACACAAACAAAATGATAAAACTAACGTAAAATAAATAGTATGCAATCGATTAAATGGCTTAATATACAAACTCTTATTGTTAGATCGTTTTGTATGATCCTGGTCAGCCTAGTCTCGCTGTTTTGGTCATTCTGACGCGTTTCGGAATTTCCCCATATTCAATGATAAGGTTAACTCCATACGGCCATAAGTCAATGAGACGATTAAAAAATGCACAGACTAATAACTGAAGATTGCGGAATGCTGAAAACCACCTGCAAGTCATAACCAACGAAACTGGGCACGCGAGGATTAGTGGATTCGCAGGTTCATCCTTCCACTGACCTGCAAAAGAATCCTTATTTTGAAACTGGAATCCATTGCTAGATTTATGTCTAAAAAATTGAACTATTGTTAGGTATTCGATCGTTAGTTATAAATAAATATTTAGGTCTGGTATGTATTGGGAGAAGCACCCTTGGATGTTTCTTCCTGTACATCGAATACGAGGTCTGCGTAGTGTATTAGATGTTTCTGCTTAATTGATTGTAAATTACGATAGGATGCCGGAATAATATAACTGAATATGAAGTAACAGCATATCCTGGCCTCTGACCTCTGACAATAAAAATCCTAAAAAAGTTTCCAATTATGAAGATCCAAGCGGGACTAGGAACACGAAGGTGTTAGAAACGCCCAAAGTGGAGGGTTCATCGAGAAATTTTACAGTAAAAACGCTAGTCTATCTAGACAACCAAAGTGAAAATCGTGTAATAACATAATGAGGAAGATCTCCAGACTATTGAAAAACGTATAAGTGCTGGAATCTTCAACAATTTGTGACGTCTGTTTTCTTTTAGAATATTATATTCTAGATATTGCAAAATAATTAATGTAATAAGTAATATATTTATGTGCGGATTTGGTTTTTAGATTAGTCACTCTCTGTCTGTGTCTTCCTGAAAAAATGTGTGTGTAGACCGGGGATATATCGTTGGCATGTTCGAGTCTATCCACCTAGTCTCGATGTCGGCCTTTCTTTTACCGTTCGTGAAGTTCATTTGCCAGGGGTGCCTGCCCAGCCTTACATGATTTAGATCCCGGGCGCCATAAATAACGGCGGGTGGGGGTCCGACGGACTGCTACTGACGGGTACGAGTACATGTTCTACCATTAGTACTCCGCTCCGTTGCTAACAGGCAGGGAGCCCGGCATCCTTATACAGCACGCAATGAGACCATCCTCGTTTGTCTTGCTCATCCCGCCGGCCGGCACTACCTGACCTAGACAACTGTCCTATCAAAACACTAAGGATTTTTTTCCATTTCCAATGCCATTTACGCAATAGCAAAGATATGAAAATTTCACTTTTAATCATACTGAAAAATCTATAATTACATCTATTTTTTATGCTCAACACTTGCATAAAACACGGTGGTCGAGATACAAGATAAAACGTCCCGGTGATATCCTTCTTCTCATGCAAAAATATCCTTATTTATACTAAAAATAATAAAGTATTCGGCTTCCGCGCAAAGGGTTTTTTATCTGCGTCAAGTAACATGATATATCTTGGTCTGAGGTTGAACGAAACGTGACGCTATTGTAGGCTTGATTGCAACCGACTTTTTTGTCCCACACAGTTTTGAAAGTTCCGGACTTACTACTGAATTACTTTTAAGCTTGTCTAATCTAGTTGTTTCGATTTGAACCGTTGTAGTAATTAATTTAAAACTGACTTAGGACAGGCTGATTTGACGTCTCAATTAGCTAAATTTTGACGGTAAGAAAGTCCAGATCGAATATCGTGTAATTTGAACCGTTTCGTACTTAAGTTTCGAATTTTGAATATCCCGGCGATATTTAATCAGACGGTCAGGTTCTAAATGTCATGTGTGCCATAGCGGTCGAGAAATATCTACGCCTTGCTGAAAACGATAATACCCAGTGAGAAGAAATTTCATCTACTTTTGAGAATCTTCATGCGAAAATCCACGGCCGTTTTCTAAGAGACCGTGTTCGCGATTGTTCGATATGCAGGTGCTCTCAAAAGGAATTCAGGGTCATAATCCGATATGAGCGACGTGGGAAGGGGGAGGACTCCTACAGACCCCTCATTTTAATATTACACAGAGTATCTGCATCGACAATTATTTATTAGGTCACTGACAGCCCGTTTTCATCCGAGGGCACATCTTGGAAACTTAAATCTTGAGAATTCACTTTTTGCTTTTTATTATTATTGTTGTTTTTATGAAACCCGGGCGTTGGTAATCATGGTTAATCTAACGCCCAGGCAACATAACAACCATACTTTTTGAATAATAATTGTCTTAATTAATTACTACGCTTTAGTACAAAATTGTTCAGCAAGGGGAAAATACAGCGTCTGACTGTTTTGATTTACTACACACTTAATCAAATTTCAAACTTAACGTACAAGAAGATGAATTTGTGGGAAATTAAGCTCTATCGTTGGCTTAAGCTTAATCCAAACTAATCCTGACCCCCCTTTCCTGATCTCGTTGTTAACATGTTCTTCACTCTGGCAAACGTGGCGTCTGGCTACTAGAACCAACCACTTTTTTTAAGGTATAAACCTTCTTGAATGTTTTTTATTGTTGGTGAAGCTTTTGTTTTCAGTTGTGAAGGAAGTGGTTTTTCTTTGATTCAAAATGTCAAACGTCAAAATATAGGACAATCAATCAATTATTTGCCACGGAATCTTGAATTTGAATGAAAAATTGTACGATGGTATGGGAGAAGAGCTCGTTGAAATTTTACAAGATACACAAATAAAATCTCTTCCCTACGTAAGCAAAGGCAAATATATGAAATGACCAGATAAGAAAGAGATAGAAGTTAATCAGTAGAGAAATACTGGTTCAAGAATCCAGTAATGAACAACCTTACTTCATAGAATAGGTGACGTAAATACTATATATAAATAGAAATATGAATGATAGAGTGAGTGTGGTGTTCAGCCCTTTTTTTCTTTAAAAAAAAAGTTCCTACTCACAGTACGTTGTTTTGCAACAGTCCGGATTTCGAGCCTTTTAGCTCATCATCAGGTTGAAGGATTTCTACAACCACGTCTATCGACATGAACTGCAAAAGGGAACCCGCCGATAACGAGTAGCTGGTTTTTCAATGGCGCTCAATTTGAACGTGCGAAAAGCGGGAATTATAACACAAATAAATATTATAATAGTAAACACTGTAATAAATTAATTATAAATTAGTGATTAAAGATAAAATATAAAAAGTTAGAATGACCTTATTATTATTAAATTATTATAAAAATAATAACAACTAAAATAATTGATTTAATTATTTGGACGTTTAATATTATTTATGTACATATTTAAATTGGGAGGTAGATCAAAATCTGTTATATTATTAATGCATTTATCACCATGTTCAATTTTACATTTTTTAATTTCAAACTTCTCAAACCAATCTAGTTCTCTCCCTTTGTTGTATTTAAATTTGAATTGAAATTATGTTTTGTTTCTTTTACATGGTCCTTAAATTTCGAAAATTTGCTCGATTTAGGCGAGTGTTCTTTTACTTTCGTTTTTATTTCTCTACCGCTTTATCCTATATACAGGGTGTCCCAGTTCCTTCTGACGAAACTCAGGGAATCGATTCTACTCTTCATTTGGAGCAAAAAATGCCCAGGAGACATTTTTCGGAAAGTTCTCTATTTTTAAGATATTCGTCAATTTAGGTTTTTTGCAACTTTTCACTACCTTACCACATAAAAACGCTTACAACTTCAAAAATGTTGAGACTACAACAAATCCAATTACACCATTTGAAAGTACGCTAAATTTGCTGTAAGATACTTCTTTGCAATAATCTGAATGATATAAAATGTTAGCCAATATCAGTTGGAACATGTCAAAATTACACCGAAGTACATTACGTTTTTTGGTTCTCAGCATAACATTATTTACAATTTAATAACTTAATAATTAAAAAAATTACAAATATAAGTACAAGTGAAAACGGAGTTGAGAAAAGGTTACCTCGTAAAAGTCTGCCCACGACACCATGTTTCTTTTTATTTCCCCATTAAGGTTAAAGTAAGATCTATACAATTTTCAATTTTTGTCCAATTGTTTTTTCATGTTTTTACTTGTTGTTTTTGTATGATAATAAAACATGCCCTGAAGATGACAGTATAAAAACTGTCGAAAGCTCGGCGAAAAC